TATTATTCCTGTAATTAAGTTTCATTCGGAAACGTGATGCAACACTGGAAACCAATATTTTTTGTAGGGTGGAAATACCGCGAGAAGAACATGTTGAGTCATTGCAATTTGTCACTCAGGCTTTGACCAGTGGCGTACCTTGTGCGTTCTAAATTGTGAACATTTAAAAAAATATTATTTCTACATTAGTAAAAATATATATTTTCCACTCTTAAAGACTTTATTAAAATAGGAAACACACACAACCTCCCCGTAATTCGCAAATGAACTCGTCCGCACGTTTTGCGTCCACTGTGAATGAGGTATAGTATATTTTTTGAGAGTAGGACGATTTCAAAATCAAAAATTTTATACGTCTGCATCTACTTTTTATGTTGTTTTAAAGTAAAAAAATTGTATACAGAATATTCCGAAAATCATAAAAGAATTATGAAAAATTTTTAAAAATTGATTCACAAGTTCGAAGATACCATTATTTTTCGTTCAAGGTCCAACAACTTTTTTTCAAATAACAGAAAAAATCGAGTGTGTATAGTTGGATGAAGGTATGTTTTTTGATCGGAGGACCATTTCAGAAGCAAAAATTTTATACGACTGCACGAATTTTTTTGTCCTTTTTAAAGTAAAAAAAATGTATGCAAAATATACTGGGATTCCAAAAATCACAAAAGAACTATATGAAATTTAAGAACATTTTTGAAAAATTGCTTCTCCATTTATTTCAGTTCAGAGTTCATTTTTTTTTTTTTTTGAAAAAGCAGAAGATATCAGGTGTGAGTTATTACTTATTATAAATGAGTAAGAAATTTTTCAAAATGTCATAAGATGAAACGAATGCAAAGGAATTTTTTCTAAATAAATCGAATATTGTGTATATTTCAAAATTAAAATCTCATTAATTTGCATAAAAATTAGCAGTTATTTTACTAACCTAGACGTAGCCGAGAGTAAAAAATATATTTTTCATTCTACTGACTTGTTTAGAATAAGGAACACACACGACCTCCCTCTAAGTTCGCAAATGGACCCGTCCGGACGTTTTACGTCCACTGAGAATGAAATAGTATATTTTTTTACCGTAAGACTGTGTCAGAAGAAACATTTTATACGACTGCACCTATATTATATGTCCTTTTTAAACTAAAAAAAAATGTTTGCAAAATCATAACAAAATTATATTAAATATAAGAGAAATTTTGAAAAAGTTGTTCAGTTCAGAGTTCAACTTTTTTTTTTAAACAGAAAATATCAAATGTGAATTACTATAAATGAGTAAGTAAAAATTTCTTAATAAAAAATGCAAAAAATGAAATGCGAATTTAAAGGAAAACTCCTAAAAGAAATCGAATCTTGTGTATTTTATAAAATTAAAATCTTATTAAGTTGCATAAAATTGGTTAACTCTCGGCTACGCCTCGAGCTTTTATCTTCACGTGCAAGGATAAAGCTACTTTTTTCCGTCATTTCTAACATTAATAACTCATAAAGCAGATAGTCAACAGTTATTTTTTTCGCATATGGACTCGTCCAGACGTTTTATGTCCACTGAGAATTAAATATAGTTATATTAAAAATATATCTTTGAGCGGACAACAATTTCGGAAACAAAAATTGTATCCACTATACCTAATTTTTATGTTATTTTTAAAGTTAAAAAAAAATGCAAAATACCCTGGGATGCTGGAGATCATAAAGAATCATATAAAATATAAGAGAAATTGATACCATTATTTTAAAAGAAAACGAATGTTGTGTAGGTATAATTCAAAATTAAAATCTCATTAGTATGAATAAAAATTATTTTTAACTCTCGGCTACGCCTCGAGTTTTAATCTTCACGTGCAGGGATAAAGTTACTTTTTTCCTTATTTCTAATAGTAATAACTAATAGAGCGGTTAGTCAGAGTAAACAATATGGTATTAAAAAACAAATTTCTCACTCTACTAATTTGATTATAATAAGGAACACACACGACCTCCCCCTAAAATCGCATATGGACTGGTCCGGACGTTATACGTCCACTGAGAATGAAATATAGTTATATGAAAACATATTTTTTGGTCGGAGGACGATTTCAGAAGCGAAAATTTTATACATATGACTATACCTAGTTTTTTTGTTCATAAAGTAAAAAAATATATATATAAAATATACTGGGATTCTGAAAATCATGAAAGAATCATATAAATTAAAACAAAAATTGCTTCACAAGTTCAAAGTTACTACTATTATTTTTCAGTTTAGAGTTGGTCTTTTCTTTTTTTTTTTGAAAAACTGAAAATATTAAGTAAGAATTACCATAAATGAGAAAAAAATGGTTAATCAAAAATGCGATTAAATGAAACGAATGTAAAGCAAAAATTTTAAAAGAAATCGAATGTTGTGTATAATCCAAAATTATAATGTCATAAGTTTGCATTAAAATTATGTTTAACTCTCGGCTACGCCTCGAACTTTAATCGTGCAGGGATAAAGCTACTTTTTCCCTCATTTCTAATAGTAATAACTAATAAAGCAGTTAGTCAATAGTGATTTCACTACCCGAGGCGTAGCCGAGAGTAAACAATATGTTATTAAAAAACGTATTTTTCACTCTACTAATTTGATTAAAATACGTTTTACGTCCACGTAGAATAAAATATAGTTATATGAAAATATATTTTTTGACCGGAGGGCGATTTCAGAAAGAAAAATTTTTGCGACTGTACTTTTTTTTAATTAAAATAACATATATACAAAATATACTGAGATTCTAGAAATCATAAAAGAATCATATATAAGAAAATTGGTTCACAAGTTGGAAGTTACTACCATTATTTTTCAGTCAGACTTTTTTTTTTTTTTTGAAAAACTGAAAATATCAACTATGAACTATTACAAATGAGTAAAGAATTCTTAATACAAAATGTGATAAACTGAAACGAATGTAAAGAAAAAATTTTAAAAGAAATTGACACTCAGTAGTTTACAAAAAAAATATGTTTAACTCTCGGCTACGCCTCGAGCTTTAATCTTCACGTAAAAGGATAAAGCTACTTGTTTCCCATATTTCTAATAGGAATAACGAACAAAGCAATTAGTCACGTTATTTTACTAACCGAGGCGTAGCCGAGAGAACAACAATTTTACACAAAATGACATTAAAAAATATATTTTCAATCTGCTGATTTGATTAAAGTAGGAAACACACGACCTCCCCCTAAATTTTGCATATGAACCCGTCCGAACGTTTTACGTCCACTGAGAATGAAATACAGTTACATGAAAATATATTTTTGACCGGAGGACGATTTCAGCTGGGATTCTGAAAATCGTGAAAGAATCATATAAAATAAAACAAACATTGCTTCACAAGTTCAAAGTTACTACCATTATTTTTCAGTTCAGAGTTCGTTTTTTTTTTGAAAAGCTGAAAATATCAAGTGTGAATTACCATAAATGAGAAAAAAAATACTTAATTAAAAATGCGATTAGATGAAACAAATTTAATGTAAACGAAAAATTTTAAAAGAAATCGAATGTTGTGTATAATCCAAAATTATAATGTCATCAGTTTGAATAAAAATTATTGTTGACTCTCGGCTACGCCTCGAGTTTTAATCTTCATGTGGAGGGATAAAGCTACTTCTCTCATATTTTCCCAAAAGTCAATCAGATTCTTTAAGATGGTTTTAGTTTTCATCAGATTCTATCGAATTCTATCGGATTTTATCAGATTCTACTAGATTTATTAAGATTATTTTAGATTCTCTTATGTTTTATCAATTTCTCTCAGATTATATGAAATTATTTTAGATATCCTATTTCAGATTCTTTCAGATTATTTTAGATACTCTCAAATTCTCTCAGATTTTCCCATAATTCTATCAGATTCTAGCAAATTATTTCATATTGTTTCAGATACTTTCCGATTCTCTCAGAGTCTTCTAAATTCTATCCAGTTCTCTCAAATTCTCTCAGATTCTTTCAGATTATTTACGATTCTTTCAGCCCCTGACAGATTCTATAAAATTTTCCCAAATTCTATCAAATCATTTCAGATTCTATCATATTCTACCAGATTCTTTCAGATTTTACCAGATTCTATCGGCTACGCCTCGAGTTTTAATCTTCATGTGCTACTAAAGCTACTTTTTTCCTTATTTGTATTTAATAGTAATAACTAATAAATCAGTTAGTTAGCAGTGATTTTACTTCCCGAGACGTAGCCGAGAGTAGACAATATGTTATTAAAAAACATATTTTTCACTCTACTAATTTGATTAAAATAAGGAACACACACGACCTCCCCCTAAAGTCGCATATGGACCGATCCGGACGTTTTACGTCCACTGAGAATAAAATACATATAATTATATGAATATATGTATACCTATTTGTTTTTGTTATTTTTAAAGTGAAAAAATATACAAAATATACTGGGATTCTGGACATCATAAAATATTAAAAAAATTGTTTCACAAGTTCGAAATTACTAACATTATTTTTCAGTTCAGAGGTCGTGGTTTTTTTTTAACTGAACATATCAAGGTTGAATTATTATAAATGTGTACAGAATTCTTAATTAAAAATACTTGTTTCCCACATTTCTAATATGCAGTAATAACTAATAAATAAGTTAGTCGTGTAATTTTGGCAACCGAGGCGAAGCCGAGAGTTCAACAATTTCAAACAATATAATATTTAAAAACACATGTTCCACTCTAGTGATTGGACTGAAGTGAGAAACAAACACAACCTCCCCATTAATTCGGAAATGGACCCGTCCAAACGTTTACGTCCACTGAGAATAAAATATAGTTAGCTGAAAAAATATTTTTTTAATGTTTTGAAGTTACACCACTATTTTTTCATTTTTTTCTCCGCAAATATTTTTTTATGTGTTACAATGCAGTCGAAATTTTGCAACCACATATTTAGGTTATCTGATATCTCTAATTGTGGCTAAAACACACACACATTTCGCCAGAATTGTTGCCTCAAATCTGCTACAATTGTTTGAATCATAATCAGTGCATGGACACTTTTGTCATTTGTGCACTTTCGTATTCTGAAAACTGTAAAACGACGAAATAACTGAATGACAATCAAAGTGTCCACTCCGTTACGTCACTTTCTAACCACTAGTCAGTGTTACAATTCGAGTAGGCGGCAAATTCGCACGACTTTAAATTTATACAGTGTATAATTATTACGCAGCTACTGGTGAAAAACTATCTCATAAATATTACCGATGGGTAAGTAGGTGGACCATAAATAACCCAAAACGGCAGTCTAGCCATAAAATTTAATTATCTTCAGAAAAGTAAGAACCAACCGGAACACCCAGCATTAACTTTTCCCAGAACCACCATTCAAACCCCCATGAAGGTATTTAGTGAGTCACGTCGTCGATAACTAAACCTAGACCCAGGTAAAGCATTATCGTGCCAAAGTGTGTCACACACAATTTTTGATAACGATAAACCCAGTATAAATAAATTTGGCACACCTTCATTTTCCATTGAAAAAAACAACTGCTCAGACCCACAATTATGAAGATAGCGTGACCATCAAGTCGCGAGCTTCAAGGCCGCTGAAGAGCACACTTTTCAATAGTGAAGATCTTCGACACTACTGTTATTCGCATAATTGATGGCTGTAATTAAGCGATTATATTTTTACGAGTGCGACTTTTCCAACGGGTTTCGGACACAAAGACCCTTCTTATCCGGCGTGAATAAGAAAATTCAGTGATTAATCCCATTGTTACTTTCGTCGACCTTTAGCTTACGCGGAAATTCGTAATGAGATGATTCGTCTCAGGTTGAATCACGAAGAAAAACGCGATGTTTTAATATTCATGAGTTTTTTAGTCGGGTTCTAGTAAATATTATCTAATAGTATCAAGTGTGCTGGATTCAAGTGTTTGGTCATGTAGTTGAAGCGTCTTTTGTGCGTTCGTCGCTAACTGTATTTAGTTCCAACAATTTTGTTAGTTTTGAAAGTCGGATGATAAATTGCGAATTGATGACCGTTTCAAATTTCGTTTTCTATTAGTGGAAGTAATGAAATTAGAGATCTGTATTCGAGCCGGATAATTAGTGTTAAATGGAGTACCGTACGGAAAAAGAAATTAGTGAAACTGTTGTGAATATCAAGTGCGATAATAACCACATATAACGCGTGTATGTATACAAAAATAACAAAACCGCAATAAAACAAAGACTTTACGACTGCCTCAATCAAAACAGCTACTTTCACACATACAAATTTTGAAGCTAATTTCGGCGATAAATTTATTACCGCGCTGTGGCATAAAATAATAAAAACCCGATAAATTTGCATGTTGTGGTAAAACCAAAAACTCACGTTCTCTCGACTGTAATCCCAGCCAGTGTCACCCTTTCAAAACATTTCCGACACAATTATTATGCACTCCACAGCACAATTTTGCTTTGTGCAACTAGAAACACGTTCAAATTTGTATTCGATACGTCTGCTTGAACTCGCGCGTTGAGTTTACAATTCCCTTGGTGGGGTTTGTGTAGAGGAGGGGGCCCGGGACGGCACCGTATTGGTGGGTGAGGAATTTTGCCGGAAAGGGTTGTCGGAAACGTGAGAAAGTGGCCAGGGTGCAGGTACGTCGGGGTTTCCTCAGGTTGGGAATTTTGGAAAGTTAATTGGGGTTTGATGTAAAGGTCTGGGATTTGCGGGAATTGCAGGTAGACTGGGGTGAAGACGTGAGAATTTCGGGTTTCGGGGAAACTGTTTTGTTTGGTTGAGGTGGATTTTCGGAAATTTGGCCGAAGTGTTTACGGTGAATGCACGTTTTAGATGTGTCGAGATTATCATGAAGACGGCCAAAGTTTGTCTATTTATATCGTAAAAACACGAAATACTCGAATCTACAGATAACTATTGTTTTATTTGTTGTTCAAAAGGGTTACCGAAAATTTATTTTGTACAAAATAGTTACGAGATAATAAGTACTGCACTGCACATGTTGAAATTAATGTATTTGTCCCCACCAAAAAGCTAATGACGTCAGCCTAGATATATGCATATTTATTGCAAAGTAATAAACTTAAAAATTTAAATTTCTTTATAACTTCGTAAACATTAAATTTTACATATGGCTAATATTTAAATAACCGTTATAACTGTATACAGGGTGTGCAACTTTTGGCGACTTCTCCATTAAATAATGAAAAATTCAGTGACGCATTCTGATACATTTAAAAATATTTTTAAATATATAGAGAGCTCGTCTAGAAGTTGCACATCATTTTAGAATTTTGTAAACGTAACACCCTGTATGTGTTTACAGATTGATAGTTCTTATTCAAAAAGAAGAAACATTATCAGTATATTACGAGTGCGAAAAAAATTGAATTAGGAATCTATAAGAGGAAGGAATTTCGAATGTTGTGTACATTTCAAAAGTAAAATCGAATTAGTTTCCATAAAAGTTACGTTTTAGTCTCACACTTTAATCTTCTTTGGAAGATTCTTTTATAGTGAACCAGGAGCTATAAGGTTATATGGCCATCATAAAATCATCCCATTGTGTCGAAGTTAAGTTGTTTACAATAGAAAAGGTTTTAGGGTCGTAAATAACGTGTCCACTGCAGTTTGACCGGCTCTTGTGGTTTCGTTCAGGGGCGGCTTTCACTAAATACGAAAATCCACCACTCCACTATTTCTTTACTACCTGCAGCCTCTGAGGGTTCCGAAATAACCACTCGCTTTGAAAGCCGGCCCTGTTAAATATGAGCAAGAAATGTTTAGAAGATGATTTATTGCCAATCGGTAAGCTTAGTGCGAACCACACAAAGGGGGTATTTAAGGGTGTGGGGACAAAAAATCTGCACAAATTTTAATTCACCGAAAATCGAGTTAGCTTTGAGAAAAATGACGGTTGACGTTATAACATTTTTTTACAGTTGTTAAAAATTGTTATGCCTAGTTCCTCTTGAAAGTTTCAATATTTTTTGTAATAATGGAACACTTAAACGAAAATGATCGCCGATCTGTGATTGCCGAATTTTATAGAAGACATATGCATTTAAAAAAGTCATTCACCGTTAATCACTTCTTCCAAATGGGGATATCAAAAAGGACAACTTATAGCATTTGCAGAAGAGTAGAGAATGGGAATTCGGTAGAAAGACAAGTAGGAAGCGGAAGACCAGCAAGAAAAATGTCCCAGAAGAAGAGAGAAGCCTTAGTCAATCAAAGTCACGGTAAACTTGGTGTTTCACTAAGAAAGATTGGACCGAAATTTAAAATTGACAAAAAGTATGTTAGCAACATATTAAAGGAGAATAATGTCAAACTTGCAACGCGAAAATTCGCCCCTAAATATTCAGAAAAACAAAAGTTGGAACAAAAACGAAAATTAAGGCATCTTTCTGAATCCGCTTTTTCCCCCTCAAATGGAACTGAAATAATCATCGATGACGAATCCTACTTCACTTTTGATGGTAGCGATACTACTAACAATAAACATTTCTATTGCAAGGAAGGAGAAGAAGTAGATGATAAAGTGAAATTCAAACGTTATAAAAAATTTCAGTCCAAGTTGTTGGTTTGGTTGGCCATTTCGTCACGTGGACATTCTACTGCGTTTATTTGCCCATCTGGAAATTCTGTTAATGCAGATATTTATGAAAAACAGTGCATTAGGTCTCGACTTGTCCGCTTTATAAGAGAAAAGCATTCGGATGGCAATTTTGTATTTTGGCCAGACATGGCAACAGCTTATTACGCAGCTAACGTTTTTGCTGCATATAATGAGTTAAGCATTCCTTTTATCCCTAAGGACAAAAATGTTCCCAACGTACTTCAACTACGCCCAATTGAACGTTTTTGGAGAAACCTAAAGAGAAATGGGTACGAAAATGGATGGGAAGCCTCGACACATGCAGAATTAAAGAAGCGTATACTGCTGAAAATACGGCAAACAAAAATATCGGCTTTTACAAATTTAATGCGCCGTGTTAAAACAAAAATTCGTAAAGCAAGTAGATATGGTGCAGATTGTGTTCTTTAAAGTTGTTTTTATAAATGTTGTTGATCACGTTATTAATACCTGCTTTTATAATACAGTTATTCTAGTTTGAAATTTGTGCAGATTTTTTGTCCCCACACCCTTATTTGCGGTCAACTACTTTTATGATGGCCATATAACCTTATAGCTCTTGGTTCACTATAGATTCTTTCAAATTTCTTCAAATTATTTTAGATACTTTTAGATTATATCAAATTCTATCAGATTCATTCAGATTCTCCCAGACACTCTCAGATTTCCTCAAATTCCCTCAGATTCTCTCAAATTCTATCGGTTTTTTAAAGATTATTTTAGATTCAGATTCCCTCAGATTCTATCAGATATTTTCAGATTCCCTCAAATTATTCCAGACTTTTTCAGATTCTCTTAAATTCCATCAGATTATTCTTTAAGATTCCTTCAGATTCCATCAGATAGTATCAAATTATTTCAGATAGTTTCAGATACTTTCAGATTTTTTCAGATACTTTCAGATTCCTTCCGATACTTTCAGATTTTTTCAGATTGTCTCTGATTTTCCCAAATTCTATCAGATTCTTTACGATTCTTTCAGTTTCTATCAGATTCCCTCAAATTCTATCAGATTCTAAGTTAGATTCATTCAGCTTCTTTCAGTTTCTGTCAGATACTCTTAGATTCTATCAAATTGTTTCAGATTGTTTCAGATAGTTTCAGATTCTCTCAGAGTCTCCCAAATTCTATCAGATTCTTTCAGATACTTTCAGATTCTTCCAAATCCTATCAGATCCTTTAAGATTCTTTCAGTTTCTATCAGATTCTTTAAGATTCGTCCAGTTTCTTTCAGATGGTTTAAGATTCTTTCAGCTTCTAGCAGATTCTATCAAACTTTCCCAGATTCTGTCAAATTATTTCAGATTTTATCAGATTCTTTCGGATGCTCCCAGATTCTATCAGATTCATTCAGCTTGTTTCAGTTTCTATCTGATTCTTTCAGATTCTCTCAAATTATTTTAGATTGTTTCAGATACTTTCAGATTCTTTCAAATAGTTTCAGATTTTTACAAATTCTCTCAGATTTTCCCAAATTTCTCAGATTTTCCCAAATTCTCTCAGATTTTCCCAAATTCTCTCAGATTTTCCCAACTTCGATCAGATTCTTTAAGACTCTTTCAGTTTCTATCAGATTCTATCAAATTCTATCAGATTTTATCTGATTCTTTCAGCTGTTCTCAGGTTCTATCAGATTCATTCAGATTCTTTCACATGCTTTCAAATTCTATTGTTTTCAATTTTTTGAGATTCCTTTACATTCTTTCAAATTATTTCAGATTCCTTCAGGTTGTCTTAGATCCTCCCAAATTCATTCAGGTTCTACCAAATTCTATCAGAACTTTTCAGATTTTTTCAAATTCTATTATTTCTAATTCTTTCAGATTATTTTATTCTTGCAAATTACATCAAATTCCTTCAAATTATTGTAGATACCATCACATTCTTTCTGATTCTCGCAGATTCTCTTATAATCTTTCGGATTCTTTCCGATTCTTTCAAATTCTTTCAGACCTTTCAAAATCTCTCAGATACCATCAAATTTTACAAGATTCTTTCAAATTCTATTATTTTCAGTTTTTTCAGATTTTATAGATTCTTTCTTCAAATTACATAAAATTTTTGTAGATTTCGTCTGATGCTCGCAAATTATCTAAGATTCGTTCAGATTTTTTCGAATTGTTTAAATTCTATGCTTTCCAATTTTTCAGATTCCTTGAGATTCTCTCAGATTTATCAAATTCTATCAAACCTTTTAGATTCTTGCAAATTACATCAAATTATTTCACATTCTTTCAGATTATCTCAGATTCTCTCAGATTCTATCGAATTCTTTTCGATTCTTTCGAATTCTTTCAGACGTTTCAGATTCTGTCAGATTCCACCGAATTCTATCAGATTCTTTCAAATTTTTTGCAATTCTCTCAGATTTTTTAGATTTTTTCAAATTATACCAAATTCCTCTCAGATTCTGTTGGATTCTTTCGGATACTTTCAGATTCTTTCAAATACTTTCAGATTTTTTCAAATTCTCTCAGATTTTCCCAACTTCTATCAGATTCGTTAAGACTCTTTCAGTTTCTATCAGATTCTATCAAATTCTATAAGATTTTATCTGATTCTTTCAGATGTTCTCAGGTTCTATCAGATTCATTCAGATTCTTTCAGTTTCTATCAGATTCTAAGAGATTATTTCAGAGTATTTCAGTTTCTATCAGACTCTATCAGATTGTTCTAGATTGTTTCAGATTAATTCAGATTCTCTCAGATTCTCCCAAATTCTATCAGATTCTGTAAGATTCTATCATATTCTATCAGATTTTATCAAATTCTTTCATATTCCCAAATTCATTCAGATTCATGCAGATTCTATTAGATTTTTCCAGATTCTACCAGATTCCTTCAGATACTTTTAGATTAATTCAGATTCTCT